GCGCCCTGGGCTCTGTGACTGGCTTCACCATATACATGTCTTTGGATGCACCACTGAAAGGCATCTTTGCCTTTCCGCATCAAACCTTTCTGCCGTCATGAATGATGACCCGAGCACTACGAGCGATTCTGCCCTCAAACGGGTATGAATTGAAGGCGTCCACAAAGGTGACTACCGCCAACTGGATCTAACACGTTTGCAGGTTCTTTCCCATCTTCAGTTTCCAGACAACGATGACCGGCAAGTGGTTATAATGACCTGTGGGATATCCGGTCAGTAGACATGAGGATTCCCCAAAGTTCAGCATTCCGAGACAAGCATTGACTAACGTGCAAACGAGTCCTTAGGTGCAGGAAAGTCTAGCTTATCTAAGGACATTGTCAAAAAAATATCAAACCTCGTTCGGTTATCTGTGATTCGTACATATACGAGAACTATGGACTCTTCAAGATTGGTTATCCCAAGGAGAAATACCCCGAGTATCAAGCTGAGGGTCTACAGTGCGTAAAAAGGGAGCTTATCTGCTTGCTCGGAGAGAAACAGAATGACATAGTCCTGGATCTCGCCTTCTGGAACAGGAAATGCCGTGAGGAGTACAAAGAGGCCATTACCAAACACGGCGGACGCTGGCTTCTGGTATTTCTCGACGCAGACAAGGAGGTTCTGCGGAGGAGGATCGCTGGTCGACAGGTAGAGAGAGACGCACTCGCTCTGAATGACAAGAGAAGAGATGGTGACTCTGCATCTAATGTTGAAAATGAGACTTTTGAAATGTACTGGGACGGATTTGAGAGACCTGTGGGTGAGGGAGAAATTGTGATCAGGGTTCTGTGAGTGCACTGTATCGGGAGAGATATTCGCCAAGTTGACGTCGCGTATCGTCATTGGATAGCAACAAACAGAACCAACGACTGGTCTGCGACAACGGTGGAATGAGTAAAGTTCTTGGTCAGCTTGCAAGATGGAAAACCTCCGGGAAGGGGGTTGAGTTTGGGTACTTGTGTGTCACATGCATTCTGGGTGCATGCGTGTGTGTCTTCCAGTACCTCATCCAGTACCTGGCTCCCCCCTGATTTCTCCAGATGCCCGCCCGTGTCCAGACAGGGATGCCGGTCATGGTCTGTGCTGTGAGTCAGTGTCAGAGCCTAATACAAACATTGAATGCCAATTGATGTCTTCCCCGCGTCTGTGTCTGGTTCCAAAAGTCTGGTTTCTTCCATTGTTCCAGCCCGGTGCAAGTTGGGGTATATTGACAGTTCCGACGCGCCGGGTCGCCGAGTCCATGTCGGCCAGGGATTACTCGAGAGCAACATTGAAGACGGTATGCGTCGAGGGCACCTATCAATGGATTAATTACTACCTACTTAAGTAGGTACTTAAGTAGACTGATAGTACATACTGAAAGCCACATGTGCAGACCGCCAAAGTGCCTGGCCTGCCTGCTGCCCAAGGCTTCCAGATGCGCTGCCCCGCTCTTTGCTGAGCGCTTGGGTCGTGAATCATGGATGCCCTTGGGGGATGCACTCTGCCATCAGCGCACGGCCAGACACGGCCAGTCACCGTCTTCGTCCACCCTCCACAGGTACAACTCTTCACCGCAGCGCAGCGCAGCCCTGTCTGCTCCCCGGATGTCTGGTTTCAATCTCGAGTGCTTCCAGATGCCCCCATCCAGGTATTAGCCATCCAGTCTTCTTTGCAACCCTCCATCTCGACGCAGTCCGCCACCCTCCACCATCTCTGTTTCCAGTCCAAGTCGGGCGAAAACCGCACACGGCCAAAGACGACGACGAGGGGAGAGAGAGAGGGAAGCTTAAAAAAACAGACCAGACATCTCATCCATTCGCCTACTGTTCTCGGCCTGCGCTATCCGACGTCTATCATTCATTGCTTGTCCCGTCTCTCGACCCTAGAAGACAAACTTATCAAGAGCTCTCGCGCCTCTTCCGCACGTCCGGGCTGCTTCTGCCACCTGCAACTATTCTTGCAGCCGGCCAATTGGCATTCCGACTCCAAAATTTCGTGGACAAGCTGATCTCAAGACCAATTTGCCTTCGCAGCCGTCATCGCCGACTCCGACATTCACACGTGTCCCGCATCACCAACCAATGCAGCCGCAGCCGAAGACGGCACATCCTTCAGTCAGACGAGAGCTTCAGCAGCCTCTGCAGTGTTCAGCAGCACAACAGCACCGCGTCATCGCACCGCTGCATGTCTCCCAACGTCGTCGTCTTCTTCGCCCCCAGTGCCAGCCATCAGCTCGACCCATCAGCTCCGGCCCAGCATTGATTACTCTCGAGCCAGCACTTGCACCACTTGCCCGAGACACCAACCACAGCAGGTGCGCACGCCTGCCCCGAGGCACACAGAAGCCGACCTGACCTCTGCGCCTGGTACTTTTTGGTGCTCCGTACTCCCTCTTGGACGTGTGCAGTGTGCATCCTCAAGTATTGTACAGGCCAAGTACCTCGGTACTTGAGTACGCAGGTGCTACACCATGCCACGAGACAGGGACCTGGACAACGCATCATCCGGTGGCCAATCAAAGCGACCTCCCCTCAACCACCGGGACAGCGATTCTCATAGCGATACCACAAATACCTCGGGAGCTCCGTCTCACCATCATCGTACAAAGCATCACCAGAAGCAGCACCACGTCGGCCACGCGGGTCGCCTGCATGCCCGCGTCCCTTCCTCAAAAGCAGTCCACAAACAGCATGGCAACGCTCATCCTCACGCTCATGCCCACAACTCCAAGCTGAATCGACGACCAGCTTCACGATCTACCTCGCCCACCGAATTGGACGAAGCCGCCCGCCGCCCGCCGCCGCACCGCAGAGCCACCAGCGAAGTCAAGCTCCCCCGCGGGTCTTTCCCTGCCAATCTGCCCAAGAGCTTGTCGCACACGAGCTTGAAGCGCAATCGCTCACACGTCGAGGTTGGCAAACGGACTCGGTCGTCGGACAAGCTCAAACGAACTTCGAGCGGCACAGGTATACATAGGCAGCCAGCCAAACCCAGCAAGATTCAGGTGCATTTTGACCTGGGGAGCGACGATCCCGAAGACGAGTGGGTGGACGCCAGCGGCTCCAATTCACCATATCTCTCACGCAAAGGCTCTCTTAACAGCAGCGCTCAATCGTCTTTGAGGCAAGGGCCTAGCGCCGAGAAATCGCGGCCCGTGACCCCGAGTACTACTTCCAAATCCAAGGAACCAGACCGTCCGTCACCAGACCGTGAAACATCTCACCATAAAGAATACCTCACCTCTCGCCTCCTGCAACGAACACCGTCGCACGGTGCACCACCACAAATGACCGTCGACCTTGCCAATGCAGCACCGGCGCAATTGTCCCGCTCCGTCAGCTCCACTGGTCGCAACGTAACGCCTTCGGCAGGGAGTAATCAAGATGAGCTAGTGTCCCGATTTGTCGATGCTGCCAGCTCTGGCCTGGCAAGCCAAGGATCATTTTATCATCCAACTCACGCCACCGGCCGAGGGCCGAATGATGTCCCCCGAAGGCCCGACTCGATGGCCCATATCGATCCGGCTCCGAAAAATGACGATGCCGAACCAGTGCCGGTGCCGGTGCCACCGGCCGAAATCGACAACAGCGCCTTGGTACCAAAGGCCGGCAGGCGGACAGTGGGCCCTGCGGCGGAAACATCACGCACACAGCAAAAGCTGAATTTGCAGCGGGCCAGCTCAGTATTGGAGCCTGGCCAGGCACTGACAGGGGCAGTGGGTGTAGTTGGAGCGAGCCCATTGATCGGCGTTGGAGGTCCTGGCTACGATGGGGGAAACAGCCGTGATCCTCGTATTGGCAAACTGTTGGAACGAACAGGCATGGAATACCTCGTCGTTCGGAGATATCAAAACCCTGTTGCTCGATCTTTGAACCGGCTCAGCCGTCTTCCCGGGATGGAGAAGACGCGAAGGATTCCACGCACAGCTGCTAGCTCTGTGAATGGCAAACGAACTGTGGATCTCAATGTTCGACATACTCGAAATGTCAGTATGCCGGATCCACGCCAAACCACTCCCAAATCTGCTGCATCGATCAGAACCAATGGAGCAGGTTCCAGCTTTGATGGAGATGGCGTTGCCAAATTGAATGAGCGATTAAGCGGAGCGAGCCTAGTTGCGGCCGAAGAGGAGGATGGTACGAACGCTCTGCTTCGTAATCTATGGGACAAATCGATGGATCTTAGCGCCAGTACCGACTAGAGAGACACGGGCTTTAGTTGTCGATCAGTACTCACAATCCTCCTTTGCTAGGCAACCATCACCTATACTGATGCCCGGTTCCTATACCCGAGCGACACCCCAGAGCAACTACTTTCAACAATTATCACGGACACAAATGACTTACATGTCAACTGTTCGAGACACTCACAACTGCTCCAACTTGAGTCCCAAGGCCGTCTCGCTTGCGTTGAGTTGGAGATTCCGGCACTTGTGGCCCACCATGTTTATAGGTTTTTTTTTCTTTTTTAACCAGGCACGCGTCCTGTGACATCATATAGCATCTTGTCTGATTATCCCGTTCAGGCATTGCGATTTCACTACCAGGGTTTCTTCGGGCAAGTAGACAAAATATTTGCAGGTTAGGCTGGGGTTTACACAAACGCATAGCCATCCGGTGCATTTACAGATTAAAAATCTTTAATACACAGGCTGATGACTTACGAGCAAGCGATCTGTGTCCGTTCCCCTTTGCGATTGCTACTGTGATATCATGGACACAATGTCCAAGCAAAACAACAAATTCGAAGTGTATGCAACCGAGAAAATTCGACACGTGTATATTTAATAGTTGTCGTATGTGCGAGAGAGAAGATGATCCCCAGCGCTAGCGCACCTCTATTCTTGTATTTTGTATCTATGCCAAATCTTTCCCACCCACCATGCAATAACATGATTACCGCTCCTGTAAACAAAAAAAAAAAAAAATGCAAGACAAAAATACCGCCGTTCAAGTACTCGACACAAACCTACCCGTTTATACATTGGGTGAAAGCAAATCATATTTAACACATCGTTCAACCTACATAGGTCAGTACAAGGCTCTCTGAAACACGCGCGACTCGCTCAGCGGAATAACTTACATCTTCTATACTCGCCTGCAGGAACTTTCTCGCCTCAAGACCAGCCCAGACCAGAATGACGCTGAAATCGCCGCTCTTGGCCATTGTCGCGCCGCTCTGGGTACCCAGCTGGCGCAGGATCGGCAAGGAGCTGCTCAGCAAGTCCACATCTGGGTTCAAGCTGCGGCCTATCCCTTCAAGCAGGAGGATGCTGATGACGACATTGACAAAGTCGCCCTCTAGACGGACGTGGTGGTTGCGCACCATGGAGAGAACCTGTTGGAGGATATCGCCGATTTTGACGTTTCCCAGCGCCAGCGTGCGGGACTTGACGCCGAGGACGAGGTGCTGCATTTTGAGGGCAAACACCTCCTTTTCCAGGACAGCCTCGGGTTGGCGGCAGCGCTCGCACATGAGGTGGCCGGCCTTGTAGCCGTCGAATTCGGCGACGGCTCGGAAGAGGTCGAGGAAGTTGGCGCGGTTGGTGGCGTTGAGTTCGGTCACGAGGCCCGTGTCGATGAAGATGAGTTGCGGCCGGTACCCTTCCGCGTCGATCTTGGCCAGCTCGGCTTCCCAGGCGGCCTTGTTCTTGCGGCGTCTGAAGGGGCGGAGGCGCTCGAGGACCTTTTCCGTCACGTCCGCCTCTTGGTCGTGCGCGTTGCGGTCTGGCTTCTTGAGCAGGCGGAGCTCGGGCTGGGCGGCCTGATAGAAGCGCACCATGATGTTGCCCGGGTGGAGGTCTGCGTGGACAAAGTTATCCAGGAGGAGCATGCGGAGGAAGGCGTCGAGGCCCTCGTCGGCAATGTCGTGCTGGAAAACGCCGCCGCCGTTTTCCATGAAGTCGGCGAGCGGGATGCCCTGGGCGAACTCTTCTATGAGCACGTTGCGCGTCGTGAAGTCGGTGTAGGGGTAGGGGAATGAGGCGGTTGTGCGGTCTTTGAAGTTGCGACGGAACCTCTCGAGGTTGGCAGCTTCGATGCGCAAGTCGAGCTGGAGCTTCATCATTTCGCCAAACTGAGCTACTTCGCCGGGCAGGGAGAGCCATTCGATTGTCGGGATGGCATTGAGGATGGATGCGAAGAAGTGCATAATCTTCAGGTCGCGGCGGACTATTCTCTCTACTCGGGGGTGGAGGACTTTGACGGCCACGTACGATGAGGGGACGCGCTTGGGTGAGCTTTTGAGCACCGTTTCGACGTTTCGACGGACGTTTTCTGACAATCCACCGTATCCCTCGGAGCCGTTCATGCCGCCCTTTGACGTGGCGAGTTCGGGTTTGAGCTTGGCCTTGTAGACTTGCGCAATGGCTCCCACGCCCAGGGGCTTCTCGTCAAATTCATCAAAAATGTCGTTAAAATCGCGCCCACCGAATGCTGCCGAGACGGTCCTGCGAGTTGCGTGCATGGAGTGTGCCGGCGCATTGGAGTGAAGCTTCGACATGGTGTCACACATCTCATTGGGGAAGATGTCTGTTCGGGATGCCGCCCATTGTCCCAGCTTGATGAAGGCAGGGCCCGCGAGTTCCATCGCCTTGACTAGAAATTCGTACCACCAAAGCGTGCCGCTTCGTTCGTTATCACGCTCGGGGCGCCGTTTACCAATCCAAATGGCCGGAACCGTGATTATGACGGGCACGAAGATGGCGAGGAGGTGCAGAAAGCGAAAGCCCGTGCAGACCGGCTCCCACACATACAGATCAAAGAAGAGGACAGCCTTGTGCGCCACCCTCAGCAGTCCCGTTTCGTGGTCGCCAACAGCTTTACGCATCTCCTCGCGGGAAACCTCCAACATTCGGTTTTCGCCCGTTTGTTCGGTGCCATTGTTGTCCGTTTGCGATATCTCTACAAAGGCCCCGGCACTCAGGGCAGCCACGCCAGTCGAGGCTTGCAGAATGACTCTCCTCGCTGAAGATCCCTTTGTTCCCGGGCCCGTCCATGGCATTTGGCGTGTGTGGTGAAGACGGAACGCGACGCGGCGTATAAGAGGAACCGAACTGGACTGCAAACGCAGGAAGGGCCGAAAACAAGTCCGGCCCAATATGAATCCGGTTCTCATATCGGCTCACAAGAAGTCGAATGCCCCTTGCAGGCGGAATCTATCATGTTTGACAGTGCATGGGGTTCATGGGGTTCATGGGTCTCGAGGAGTTGTCGTCGGCAAGCACATGGAAATTCGGGTTCAACATGGAAGACCTTTGCAGGCCTGCGGGTGCCCACAGAGGCACTAGTACACCAGACGGGATTGGTGACGTAGGAGACTCGGACAGGGAGAAGCCGGACATGCACGTGCAGTGGGTTCACTGGGTTGTCGTTGTGGTTGGTGGCGCCAATCAGTTGAGGCAAAATATTGACTTCAGTACCTACCAGTCTAACGGCAGTGACCGGGTACGGAGTAGTTACCAGACATCAATCTCCACCGGACGGTCGCTCCACGGCCTCGCCGGCGCGCGATAAGATTTCGTGCTTTTCGTGCTGCTAAATTTCTTTGTCTCGTCACTTTGATCCCTCTCCGAGCATCAACGCCGTCAACCTCGTTCGTGTAGCTTGTCTGTAAAGCATCTGGCGCGTTCTGCCGGCGGTTACGCCTCATTGTTTTACTCTTGTTTTAATTCTAGTGCAATATTTGTGCTTCAACATGGGCTGGTTCTGGGCTGAGCCTACTCCCGCTGCGGCGCATACACCCAGCGGCCATCCTCCAGTCATTGGCAATACAGCTCCCCCGGTACGCAGCAAGGATTTCATCAATGTTGCCCGTGAACTTCGACTCTAACCCCCTTACTCTTCTAGGCCGGATGTCCGATGCATCAAAAGACTCTCGATGCGTTGAACCCCAATGAGAAGCCCCCGAAGGAGGCTCCTGGCCCATCCGCGTCCGGCTGCCCTGTGTCTCACGAGGCTCGCGCAACCCAAGACAAACCCAAATCTCTGCTGTCGCAGCTTAACCCGCTCAACTACATGTTCCCCGACCTGTCGCAGGAGCGTGCTCCCAATCAAGCCATCGCGCTGCCAACAAGTAGAGAGGAATCCACGATACCAAAGGGGTCCGGAGATGGCACGTGGGAGTATCCTTCGCCGCAGCAAATGTACAATGCCCTCCTGCGCAAGGGATACACAGACACCGATATCACTGCTGTTGAATCCATGGTGTCAGTTCACAACTTTCTCAACGAGGGCGCCTGGGCAGAAATTGTTGGTTGGGAGCAGCGTTTTGGCAAGGGCCTGTACAACGGATGGCAGGTCTGCAGGCGAGGAGAAGCGCATGCATCCGAGGAGATAGAGCGAAACTGGGATGTCAATGATCCTGAGCCTACGCTCATCCGTTTTCAGGGTCGTCCCAAGGATCTGACCCCCAAGGCAACTATGCTGCAGGTGTTGGGCTGGATCTACCCGTCAAAGTTTGGGTAAGTTTGCGAGTAGCAAACCTCACTGGATGAATTTCACATGACCTTCTAACGTTGCGCAGCACTGAACCGCCATTTGACCGCCACGACTGGTACGTCTCCCGAAATGTCAACGGCGAGAGACAACAAATACGATATGTCATCGACTACTACTCCGGTGAACCTGAGCCAACTGGTGAACCTGTCTTCTACCTCGACGTCCGACCTGCCGCCACCCCACGAGGCGCCGCCGAGCGCATTATTCGATGGAGTACAGACGTCTGGTGGAAAGCTATTGGGGGCGACAAGCGGGAGCAAGACCCGCAACCCTTCTTCCGCCACAACTCTTCGAAGCCTTGGGGTTAGACCAGCATAAAAGAGGGTGTTACTGTTTGTAATTGTATCAGAAAAAGCAATGTATTCTACTCCACAACGGCATAATGAACCTAACCTGGTTTCCCAAGCACACACTCACGATTGATACGCACTGGCATGCTTTGTATAATAGTTATAATTCAACTACTGTTTAAATCCGTTGGACCTGAGGGCAACCTGGGTTGATATTACGTGGCCGTAATATAGTTGATGCCGGTGTAAACAAAGCGACTCGCAGTTGGGAGTCTTAAGAGCCAAAGTATTATAAAGTGGTTGTCCTCATTTGCAAACAGCAATTACGAAGAATATTGCTCTCTCCGCACGCCCTGAGAATAACCACGTTCGGTGTATTAATGATCCCCATAACCGAAAACTTTGCTTCCTCATCAAGTTCCAACCACGATAAAAATACATTTGGCAGATATATTTAACTGCCATTTTGCAGCAATCTTTCAAGCCATTCGCTCAGAATTCTGAGGACACTCTCTTATACGAAAGAAAGTCCCCATGAGAAATCGATACTGGGGGTCAAGGCAATCCTACCTTAAAGCAAACATGTGGAGGGCTTTGTCCATCAAGTTGGTCAAGATGTCAACAGTACCCAAAGCTTTTCCTATGAGGATTCAGATACCGAGGTTCTCCCAGAAGTTTGTGCCGTTATTGCACAAGAAACATCAAAGTATGAAGATGAGTTAAAGGCACTAGAAGAGGGTCTGGACAAGAAGGAAGAGAAAAATAATCGGTCGCGTTATTAACCGCGAGAACGTCGTGCCGGATATTTTAACCTTGTCCAAAACCCTGGGTAATAGTCTACCCTGAGTGCCGTCGCTGACTGCCAGTGTAGCCGCGAAGGGCTTCTTCTGGTTGCAAAGTAGACGGAGTAAAAATCGTTGACATTTCAGCAAAACGTATTCATACAGTGACGCCAACCCATGCAATCGAAAAGGCCAAATGCAAAAACTCCCCGTGATGCAAACATGAAACATGCCAGTATTATGTCGACCATGGTCAGTCGCTAGGACCAGACCGAAACCTTTCAACTCCAGTGCCTGTTCATTCCTCCCCGCCAAACGCCCGCCCACAAAAGCAAAAATACTAAGGCAACATCTGCTTCCGTCTCTGTTGGAAATAGTGCCGTAGATAGCGCCTTGCGGCCTGAGCAGCAACGCTCATAACAATAACTACCTGGAGGCCGACGAGGCCGAACCAGATGAGGTTCAGGATCCTGTCTTCGTCATAGGTGGCGTGGTTCTTGAGGAAGACGGCCATTATTCCGTGAGCCGGTCGGGAGATGGGTGGACTTTGCGCACAGCTGCACAGCTGCGGTGATGGGCGGAGGCGCAGTATCGGGACGGAGGTTTATACAATACAAAGCAGCTAGAGGGGTTTGTTAGAACGAGTCATGGAAGAGCTTCAACCGGGGTTTATTGGGGACCATGGCTCACCTCTGGAATGGGGATCGTGTTGTTTCACCGCCGAAGGGGAAAAGAAGAAAGAAAAAAATCCAGCTACCGCGCACCGGATGGCACAAAAGGAAAGAAAATGATTCGGCAATGGTAGGTAATGACAGCCTAATGTCCAAGGACATACACGATAGCCGTGGCCATGGAGAGCGCAAGCGAGAAGGAGGATGTAGAGCCACGTCACGGGGAGCGGGCTGGCTATCTCGTTTTAATAGACGGGTGGTCCCTTGGGAGGTGAGACTGTGGCTGTCGAGAGGTTTTGGGAAAATTGCCGGCCCACAGAGACGATGCTCGGTCGCACTGGTTGGTGGCCCTGTGGCGCTGGGATGCTGGGATTCCATGGCGGTCCGTTCTGGAGTTGATCGAAACCCACCACCCCAGCCTCCCCGCAACATTGGACGAGTGAAGGGGAGCCAGCCAAGTGCACGGGATGGTGGGTGGCACGGATGAGTGACAGGACGTACTGTACCCGTATTTGGGACAATATTCTGACTTAGGGTCTGGAATCCCATACGCGGGCGAGGCTGACGATGACTGCGAGCAAGTGATGGTGGATTCAAGTCCGAGATGACATTCACACCAGTTGACGCCCGTTCAACACATGGTGATGATGCCCACGCTCGCCGGGTCCCCGGACACACAATGTTTGACCAGCGTGTTTGCTTGAAACACGATGGCCGAAACAACATCCGTTAGCCACCCGATATGCAGTTGCCTTGCGCGCAACACCATTCCCTGTCATCGGTCGACTCATCCGTGTCGACCTCTTTTGCAGCGTCGGGTTGTCGCAACCGTGTCCTTTTTATGCGGTGCCCATCGCAAAGATGCCAAAGTCCCAAAGGACACTCAGGCGATGTATTACACACCACCAATAAATTCTTCACACGCTCCGAGATAAAATTAGATTTTTTTTGCGACGTGAATTGAAAGGCTTTCATTCAATCTCTTTATCCCCGTCAGCCATGGATACTTTGTTGGGCCCACCGCTACATCAGCGAGAGAGAGAGAGAGAGAGACACAGGCCCATCGTGGCTCCCGAGATAGCAAGGGTACGCGATGCTGCGGTCAGGATTGGACCGTAGTCACCGTCATTTGGGACATGGTTTATGCAAAATTCCTGACATCTGTCTTGTAAAATACTGGTAAAAATGACCGTTGGCAAGACTGCACACGTATCTTGGTATGCAGCGGGATGGGGCCGTGAAAGTCAACGCCGCTCGCTTGCTTTGTGATGGGGTTGACAAAGAGGCCGACGGTGAGAGGCGGTCAAGCCCATTCTGGTCCGTGTAGACGAAACATGTCCCATCCGGATGTCACATGCTCTTGCGGGCAGAGGTTGATTGGCATGGAGTATTATAAAATGACGGATGCTCCAAGTCTGAGTCCGAACAAGTACGGCAAAAGGTAGACTCTGGAGAGAGACAGCGAGAGCGAGAGAGAGTGAGTGGGTGTGTGTGTGCATGCTGCTTTGCTACATGCATGAAGCTGACCAGATGCCGCTTGGCCATGGCTCGTTTTCCAGTCAGCGCCCAATCGTTCTTTTTAAATCCATCTATTATCAACCATCGCCGCAAGACCAAGCCTACATTTCCAGCCGCGTGCTTGAGAGGTCTCCATGAGCGCAAGACGGGGTTTGCAAAGTTCGGTGCAAGGCACATGCCTATCCCCTAAAAGCAGCGAAGACTACAATGATGTAGCTGCGGGGATGAGCAACCAATTAAAAG